GGAAGGCATCACCTATCCTATTACTGAGTTTTGGGCTCTTATATAAACTTTATTAATAACTAGATATGAGGTGCTGCAAACTTTAAGTTTGTGGCACCTCTTTTATACTTTTAAAGTGCGATATCGAATATATCGTCTACATGACTTGAAGATGAACATGTAATTTTGTTCAGAATTAATTATTTTTTGTCTTTCTTTTTATTTATATTGGACATTTCTGCCTACTCATATTTACTGTAAACATCATGTATGTAATATTTTATACTATTTTATGATATCTACAATCCTGGATCACTGCATATATTATGTCATACGATCGCTTTTACATTTCTTAAGACTGACATTCATTCTCATTTTAAAGTTAATTTACTTATAACTATTTACTATCAATTTGAAGATACATTTAAAAAATGTTGATTTGCATTTTCTGTTAATATTTTATTCCCTTTTAATTAAAAATATGAATTAAATTGTGGTCTGTTTTTAAGCTATTCTTTTATTTTAAGAATATCTACCTTTGCACATTCTTCCTAGGCCACTTTAACAGAACGTCTGCTTGACCCTCAATCTGCCATTATCGCACCACCGCCTCCCTCGGCGAGCTCCTCCTCTTCCCTGGCAACTTGCGCCTCCCCGAGCAGAACTGCTGTGGAAGTACATCCACAGCCAACCCCCCAGCAGCCAGGATTTACATCATCTAGTCCCGTCAATCCTCTTGCAATAGTGTCTGTCTCTTCTTCAGATAATACTTCTGTTTTCGAACCAATTCCTGCCTCTAGCCAGCCGATGATGGGGCTCCCAGTAATAGCGATCCCTAGGCCACGAGCTAGTCCGTCTCTAGTTGATAGACAAGTGGGTTTGTCATCCAAATGTTCCAAAACTTGTATCTTTATAATGTAAAATACAGAAGCAATTGAAAATTATATCAATTAGTGAACATTGGGACATGACAATATCACCTTATCTCGAGTGCTTTTTTTGCCAATTTGGGACAGATTGATGTGCATAAGTATCATTTACTCTATATCATTATTATTTATCTACATTATTTTTCGAATTAA